AATGTCGTTAGCGCTTACGCACCGCAAACGGGCTTGGATGGGGAGGTTAAAAGGCGCTTCTGGGAGGGTTTGGACGAGGTTGTGCGTAGTATTCCACATGCTGAGAGGTTATTTATATGAGAGGATTTCAATGGCCATATTGGGTCGGCTGCTGGTGGCTATGGCGAGGTGCATGGTGGCTTTGGCCTTGGGGATAGGAACAGAGGAGGTAATTCGCTGTTAGATTTCGCTAAGGCTTTCGAGCTGGTGATTCCGAACTAGACTTTTCCGAAGAGGGAGAAGCATCTCGTAACTTTCCAAAGTTCGGTGGTGAAGACTCAGATTGATTACCTCATCCTCAGAAGGTGTAATAGAGGGTTGTGCAAGGATTGCAAGGTTATCCCGGGTGCGACCCTCGCGACTCAGCATAGGCTCTTAGTAATGGACGTCAGTATTATGATACAGAGGAAGAAGAGGTGTACTCGTGGTCAACCGAGGATTAGATGGGGAGCTTTAACTAAGGATAAAGCCCAGGAGTTGGAGGGAAGGTTATCAGCTATGGGAGCTTGGAGGAGTAGTGGGGACGCAAGCGCTATGTGGTCAACGACGGCGAACTATGTTAGGGAGGCGGCGAGAGAGGTGCAAGGAACATCGAAGGGTTATTCTGGCAGGCACCAAAGTGACTGGTGGTGGAATGACGTAGTCCAAGGTAAAGTGAAGGCGAAGAAGGTAGCATATATGAAGTTGGCAGGGAGCACAAACGAGAAGGAGAGGAGAGCGAATAGAGAAAGGTACAAGGTAGCGAGGAAGGAGGCAAAGCTGGCGGTCACGGAAGCTAAGAATGCAGTATTTGGTCATCTGTACGAGGAATTGGGGGATAAAGGCAGGGATAGGAAGTTGTTTCGGTTGGCTAAGGCGAGGGAGAGGAAGGCTCGGGATTTGGACCAAGTAAGGTGCATCAAAGATGAGGACGATAAAGTATTGATGGGGGAGTTCCAGATTAAGCAGAGATGGCAGATGTACTTACATGGTCTTCTAAATGAGGAGGGGGGACCGGGATATAGTGCTAGGGGATTTGGGGCATTCGGAGAGTCCCCGAGACTTTAGGTATTGTAGGTGCATTAAGGTGGAGGAGGTCGTGGGGGCTTTGCGTAAGATGAGTAGGGTTAGAGCGCCCGGGCCAGACGAAATTCTAGTTGAGGTTTGGAAGTGTGTGGGTATAGCATGCTTGGAGTGGCTGATTGGGTTGTTCAATATAATTTTTAGGACGAAGAGGATGCCGGATGAGTGGAGGTGGAGTACAGTGGTACCGTTATACAAGAACAAAGGTGATATTCAGTGTTGTAACAATTATAGGGGTATCAAGTTACTAAGCCATACCATGAAAGTTTGGGAGAGGGTGGTGAAGGTGAGGGAGAGGAAGACATTGTCTATATCCGACAACCGATTTGGGTTCATGCCGGGTCGCTCAACTACGGAAGCTATCCACCTTATTAGGAGGTTGATGGAACAGTACAGGGATAAGAAGAAAGATCTGCACATGGTGTTTATTGACTTGGAGAAGGCATATGACAAGGTCCCTAGGGAGGCGCTCTAGAGATGTCTTGAGGCAAAGGGTGTGCCGGTAGCTTACATCAGAGCGATCAAGGACATGTATGATGGAGCTAAGGCTAAGGTTAAAACTGTGGGAGGCGACTCAGAGCATTTCCCGATTTTTATGGGGTTACACCAAGGCTCTGCACTTAGCCCGTTCTTATTTGCCTTGGTGATGGATGCACTGACACACCAGATTCAAAGGGATGTGCCATGGTGTTTGTTAGTTCTGATGACATAGTTCTAATTGATGAGATGCGGGACGGTGTTAACGAGCGGTTGGAGGTTTGGATACAGGCCATCGAGTCTAAGGGTTTCAAGTTGAGCAAGTCTAAGACAGAGTACCTGGAGTACAAGTTCAGTGCTTAGTCGAGGGTTGTAGGTAGGGACCTGAGGCTTGGATCACAGATCATCCCCAAAAGAGATAGTTTCAAGTACCTTGGGTCGGTTATTCAGGGGGACAGAGAGAACGACGAGGACGTCACTAACCGTATAGGGGCGGGCTGGATGAAATGGAGGCTAGCATCTAGAGTCTTGTGTGACAAGAAAGTGCCACCGATACTCAAAGCTAAGTTTTATAGAGCTGTGGTTAGACCGGTCATGTTGTATGGGGCAGAGTGTTGGCCGGTTAAGAACTCTCATATCCAGAAGATGAAGGTGGCATAGATGAGGATGTTGAGGTGGATGTGCGGGCACACTAGAATGGATAAGATTAGGAATGAAGTTATTCGGGAGAAGGTGGGCGTGGCCCCTGTGGATGACAAGATGCGGGAAGCGAGGCTCAGATGGTTCGGGTACGTGTGGAGGAGAAGTCTTGATGTTTCGGTGAGGAGGTGTGAGCGGTTGGCTGTAGTGGGTATGAGAAGAGGTAGAAGGCGGCCTAAGAAGTATTAGGGAGAGGTAATCAGGCAGGAAATAACACGATTGCGGATTTTCGAGGACATGACCCTTGATAGGAAGGTCTGGAGGTCAAGCATTAGGGTTGTAGGCTAGGTAGAGGGTAGTCGAGCTTTTCCTACTTCATACCGGGGGTGAGGCGGGGTTGGATAGGTTTGATCTTAGACGACTTGTGGCTAATATTGACTCCACACTATCCTTTCTGTTTTTCTTAGCCCCTGGCCTTAAAAACTGGGTACAGTTATTGCATGTCATCTATTTTTTGGTTTTTATGTTTCTGTTACTATTTCTACGGTTTCTACTGACGTTACTGATGAATTGTCTCTTCTTGTTTTATTCCCGTCTTTCTGAGCCGAGTGTCTATCAGAAACAGCCTCTCTGCCCCATCGGGGTAGGAGTAAGGTCTGCATACACACTACCCTCCCCAGACCCCACTTTGTGGGATTTTACTGGATCATTGTTGTTGTTGTTTAATTCTTTTGAATGTGATTGCTAAATTTAGTATACAATATACATATATTTTTATAAATTATCTCCGCTCTTTTTTATATTGAAACGGTCCGCGCATCGTGGGTACGTATACTAGTTAGTATAAATACATCAATTATTTTTGCTGGCTTGAATTTGTGACGGGTCACTAAGCAATAGTAGCTATTATCATTGGGTAAAGGTTTCTCTTCATGAAAATTGGATGAACAAAACAGTAAGATGTTAAATAAGCAAGAGTGAAAACTAAGGTTACTTGGGTAAATATTTCTGTGGAGAAATTATTGATCTACTGGAAAATATTTTCTTAAAAAACACTTTTCCATCTAAATGAAGAAAAAGATACTTATTCACCTACTTTGGCAGACGTTACTTTAACAATATTCGACTAGTAGTCCATATTACTCATACAACTTATCCATACAGTATTGTTATCAATCCTACACTCAATTATTTTATCAAATTTTCAGTGCACAACACTGTTCAATTAGTTTATATTATTATCAATCTTTAGTTAGAGTATTTGTGATTTGACTCAAACACACTAAGAACAAAATGGAAACACTTATTTGATAGTGAATGCTTCTCTAATGACCTAAAATAGGCTTCAGAGCTCTGTACTTCTGGTTTTTCTGCAAAAGCTAAGCCAAATTTCTGGTCTCATGGAAAAGTTAAGCCAAATTGAGATGAGTAAAGTAAGGTCAAGCTAGCATAATAACTATAGAAAAAAGCTTAAGTTGTGAGAAATTGTATAGGTAAAAGTGGTGTAGAAAAAGAGATTCAAGAAACATGGTTGAGTTTAAGTTGTTAGAATTGGTAAATTTGTCTGAGAAAGAAATTATGTACTTCAACACTGTCACCGTGTTCCTTTAAAATTGTCACGCTTCACTGTGTACTTCTATAATTAGGGGTGTCAATGGATATTTAAAAACCGACTAAATCGTCCGAACCGAACTAGTTTTTAGGTTTCTTTTAATAAAATCGTAGGTTTTATATAAATCAACAACCGTACCGATAATTAGGGTAGATTTTTTATTTTATGAAAATAAACCGAATAAATTTACGTGGAAAAAAATATATTTATATATTAAGTTTAAAAATAATAAAACGTTAAATTTTTCCTTGGCCGTTGAAATTATAAAAATGATTACAAGCCAACAAGTAATTAAAATCAAAATTCTAATTCCCAAACCTACTATGCTACTCCTACTGAAACTAAATTATTTTCGGCATATTCACTAGCAAGACACAAAGTATTCTAGCGATTATGAGTAACAAACTAAATGTATTGAATATGTTTCCTTTTGTATGATTTAGATTTATCTTTTTGAATATTTAATCTTCTATAGACTTTATTCTCGAGTCCCAACTTGGTTAATATCTTTCTACTCGTGTGACTTTTTTTTTGTCTATGCTTAGTTTCTGTTATACTGTTGTAGAGTAGTTGATGGATCTATATTATGGTCATCTTTCATGTTTTCTTACTTCATCACTATTTAAACAGTAAAACTGTCCAGAGAGTTTTGCTAAGTCCTATAAAAATATGTATGTTATTGCATTTTACTTTTACATGACATTTAAAAAAATACCGAAAATTAACCGAACCGTACCAATATCGAAGAGAAACAAACCGACATGATTGGAACGGTTTTGAAAAGTTTAATTTTGGTTATACATAATAGAATAACCAAAAAATTGCTATGATACAAATTTTATAAAATAACCGGCCGAACCGAACCATTGACCCCTACCTGTAATGTATAAAAGAAGAACTATAAATTAATTTGTTTTTCTTGCTTCTGGGAAAAAGAGAAGGAAAGGTCTAAAGTAAGGCAAGTAATTTATGCAGATCTAAATGGATTAATATTTCACTAAAGTAGGAGCATACTGAATTGCTGCTTCTCATGAAATCTAATTACAAACATTACAAATGACGAAATCAGATTCAGTATATTACCCAATAAAAAGACTTGGAATTTACGAAGGTACTACCAAGGGGTGATGTGAAGATTGGGATCAGAAGTCTGGAGTTCAAGTAGCGTTGGCGGAGCTAGTAGGTTTCAAATAATAATAATAATACTAATAATAATAATAATAAGGAATCGATTTAAATACACAGGCTTAACGAAGATTTCCTGGTATTCTGAATCTTTTGAAGAATTAATATAATTAATAATCTCGGTACAATGAGCAATGCAATTGCAAAGTATTTTTTTGTAGTGAAGTCTCCATTGAATTGCTAATTTCCATCTCTCTATTGACCTTCTAGCTACACTTGACGGGACATAAATGCCTTCACTAAGCATATCCTTGCTTTCCATGAAAGCACAAAGCTCACTAGCAAGTGGTGGTGGCATCTCTTTAATCTCCACGAATTGATGGATATCCTGAAATTTATCAAGGATGACGAGTAACTTACCGTCTTCTTCAGCAGTAGTTGGAAGTATGTACAATGTTGTTCTGCATTTCTTTGCCAGCCATCTCATTGCAGCAACTTCATTATGTGCTGAAAGTCGGTTTCCTGAATAAACAAGGTGTATAAAAGACCTACGCTTGTTTTGTGGGACTGCCCAGAATCGCACTGTTGATAGTAGCGCAAAGGATGGTTTCCCATCTGGCTGAACATAGAGTAACTCATTCTCCCATGAACAGAGAGAATACATATCTGATTCTAAAGGTATAAAAGCCTTGTCATTTGGGTTGTCGGTCAGAAGAAATCCATAATGTTGAAGAAGCTCCAAATTTGTGTAGGTACCGTAGCTTACCAGAACCTGCATCAATCAATCACACTAGAAGCATCAGTGCTACGCTTACAAGCTAGAAACAATAATGCAAAGGGAAAATGGCAAACTGTCTTGATAATGACACTGGATATTCAATGCAATACATTCATTTCTGTAGTTCTTAATTTCCAGAATATCATGTAATAGAGTGTCACTGTCAGTCGGTCACACACAAAGAAAGGAAAAAGTATTAAAAGGGAGCAAGTATTTCAGTATCACCTGTTCCCCTTTCCGGTAGTTTCTTCTAGCATAGAAACAGTATGAAGAAACATCCTCCTCATATCCAGCATCTATTAGCCTATGGTCTGTGGCCAATTCAGTTGCTGATTTAAGCATACTGTCTTCTTGCAAATAAAAGGCTTTTCCAGCAACCTGATCTTCAGAATTAGATGTTTCATCTCCAGGTGCTGCGTAGTTGAAGAAATCTCCAACAGGGCATAAACATCCAGCTTCATCCCAAGGTATATGCATGGTGCGCGAGGATATCTTCAGCGAGAACCTTTTCCAGGTTAAAACTATGAAAATAAGAAGAAAAACGGGGAAAATATAGCAAGTAGCAGACACACAATGAATCCTCAAGTACATCATGAATCAAGACAGAAAAGACAGACAATGCTCAAGTCCACCATGAATCAAGCACATCATATGTATATCTGGCGATGAGGTTAAACTTCAAGTACATCATGAATCAAGACAGAAAAGACAGACAATGCTCAAGTCCACCATGAATCAAGCACATCATATGTATATCTGGCGATGAGGTTAAACTTCAAGTACATCATGAATCAAGACAGAAAAGACAGACAATGCTCAAGTCTACCATGAATCAAGAATCAAGCACATCATTGATATGTCTTGCAATGATGTTAAAGTTTCTAATAAGAAATGGTTAACTAAAATAATTCTAGAAATTAGCTCTTGTGAGTTGACTCTGTACTTACAGAACCAGAGGCCCACAGCCAAGCCTTGAGAGTCAGGAGCTGTGGTTTGAGCTTGAGGTCATGCATAAGCACACTAGCTTCTTTCCACTCTGCTTCAGCCTTCAGAGAAGCCTTTTGTGCAGCCCAGATGGCATCATCAATCTAAAATCATAAGAAATAATTCAGATGATGCCTTTTTGTGGTGAATTCCAGTCAACTAATATGACAGGCATTAGCAATGCAATGAACAACAGTGCTTGGCTGCTTGCAAACAAAGAAATAAATTTTAGCTTGTAGGGATTGCTACAAACTTGCAATGCTTGTATCTCGAATTTGTCAAAATCTGCAAGTGTGTCATAGCTGCGTGGGAACTGTTTTAGATAGGGCCACCACGGAGAACTCTTTCCCTTGTTCACTTCATTTAATAGTGCAACAACCAATATCTGCAGTAACAGTAAGTTTAGAAGGCATAAACATCAAATTGAAGGAAAACATCATCACTGGCCAAACAAATCACAAACTGCAGAGTTAAGTGGTTAGCACTCTGACTGTGGAGATACGAGCAAAAGATTCACTTGCACAACCAAGGTAGCAAAGCATTTACAACAAACATTTGAAGAAACTACAGACTCAACATAAAGATCAGGCCTTTCAATACTATAGTAGCTTCGAATTTGTGTTGTTTCAAATTTGTATTTACTTTCTTTTAAAGCACTGCTTTTCTCTACACTATCCAAAGCTTTTTTAACACTTAACATAAATTCACTTTGAACACCACCTTTTCACTTAAAGATTTTCGTTTCAGAACGTTATCCAGAAAACTTTAACTCTCACCATAATATGGTGCACAAACTAAATAGAGCACTTAATTTGGGGCAGCGGGTAGTAGTTTAGTGAAATGGAGAAACTTTAAGCCCCAGTTGTTTGCCCAATTTGTTTTAAGAACAAGTGATAGCTACATAATCTTTTATAGTTGTAGAAACACATCGAGTTAACTTCATACTACTGGTTGAGCATATAAAATAGCAAAAAGGTAAAGTTTCTGCCTTTAGTCCAAAAAACACAAAACCCAAGTTCTAATTCTTATATTTTAAAGAGGAAAATAAGAAGGAATCACCTGAGTAGAGGAGAGATAAGGGTGCTTCTTGACAGAAATTGACAGCACCTCATCGTTAATCATAAGGTTTTGACTAGTCATTAACGCTCCGTTTGGAACTTTAAGAATCAATTCCCCTTTCCTAATATCACGAGCTGTTGCTAAACCTCTCCTGCAACATCAGAAAAATCATTCATTCATCACCATGCGTATATAACATACTCATAAGGAGAAAAGAGTTGTAATTAATGTATATATACCCTCCGGCATCAGGGAAAGTAGAGACAAAGAGGGAGTGTCCCAAACATGAATCTGATTGAGGGGTTGAAGTTAAAGGAGTGTCTGAGATTCCTAAATCAGCTGCCCATTGCAGGAAGTTCAATGCTTCTTCCATGGCGGCTTCGCAGGGAAGCTGTGGGCTTTTCCCTTTCTTTTGTTACAGAAAATGCTCAAGGGTAAATCAGACAACTGGGCTAATCCACCGTGGAAATAGCCACTTTTAAGCAAAATATTTTTAAAATATATTCACAATTTATAATATATTTAAAATTAATTCGGTCAAACTTCAGGCACAACGCAACTTCAGAATATTGTATCTTAAAGTTTAAAAATTGTATCCAAAAATTCAATATTATGTCCTGAATTTTAAATTAACAGTTTAGAAATTCAGGACACTTAGTTTAGAAATTCAAACTTAGACCTGAATTTTAAATTAGCAGCTCAAAAATTTAGGGCACTAAGTCCTGAGTTTTAAATTAACAACTTAACAATTCTGGATACAAAATTCAGGATATTTAGTCCCGAAATTTAGACGAATTGACTAATTTTTAAATAAATTATAAAATTGTGAATATATTTTTAAGTAGCAAACTTAAAAACTGGTGCACTTCGCCCAACTCCAACTTATCGAGGCCCAAGTCCAACAGGTAAATTGGCCCAATCATGTGACCATTAGAGTGTATCCAATAAATTTGGAATAATATTCAAAAGATTAACATGGCAATTGCAAAAATGACACACACAATTCAAAAATTGTTCAGTTGAAAAAATTAAAACATATAAAGGAACTTCATTTCATACTTGTCTATCCCTATCGTGAATTTGAGTTTGATTCAAACTCTGAATATAAGCTTAGTTTGACGCCGAAAGCAAATTTATTAGTCAAGCTCAATTCATAAGCCCGATTAAATGATATATTGGGAGTATAATACACTCAATTTCATTGCAAGATAACTACTGCTAGTTAAACTTATAACAACTATATGTGTGAGTTTAATTCTTTGATCACTTAATGTAACAAAATTTTATTTTAAAAAATATTTATTTAATGTATGCTCATCAACAAGTTAACAGGATACCGTAATAAATAATTGCTTCTTGTTATTTGTTAATATCACAGTGACACGAAGTATGCACGAAAAAGTAGACAAATAAAGAGACATCATTTTCGTACACAATTCTAGTTCCTTCATTAAGTTGAAGCCCAATTGCTCACTCCATCCCCCCCCCCCGGGCCCGCCCCAGCCTTTTATTTTCATTTGTTATCACACAAATTCTAATGTTCACTGACCTCATAATAATCGAGAAAGCTCGAGAACTTAAAATTTTTGAATCTCTGATAGATGGAAATTCGTTTCTGATTTGTTTGAATCCTCTTCAAATAATTAAATATAAATATGGAAAAGAGCACGAAAATGGGTAGGAAAGATAGATTCATAGGTGGACTCAGTGCATCACGATTTGGTTTTTGGGGAATTGATGAGAAAATTAAACATATAACATCTCAAACCAAAATTTAATTTGATAGTATATAAGCTTTTTGTATCATGAATGCATAGAAAAATAAACTTTATAAGTATCTTTAACCGAAAAATCGGATAACGTTAAATTTAGATATGGTTCTAAGGGTATGCAAATTCCTTTGATACAAAATGACAATACAGGTATTTTTGCTATAAAATGGGAATGATGGACGGGAAGACCAAAATGAATTAGAAAAACAAGCACAATGAAATCTTAATATATCCTGGAAGACCTGTGTCTATTACAGTCTATCTCCCTTTTTATAGTAGAGGGTCACTGCTTTATCTATAACAACATAATAAAATAATACATATAATGGAGGACCCATGATGGTTTGTCTCTTCCTTGATTCTCGCCAAGATTCTCTCCCTCGGTGCGGTTGTAACGGCTCTTGTCTGCGAGCTTGGCACTGGCTTGAGCTCGGTGTTAGATCGAACCCCAATCTTGGTTCGAGCTCGGTTCTGCCTTGGGGGATCGATATTCGGGGCCTGTGTCGATCGATGTTGCCCCGTAGTCCGATTCGGACACGAGCTCAATAATGATATCGAGTTTTGCCGTTGATTGGTCTTATAGCTCAAAGCTCGATGTCTCTACTTTGGAATTCGTCCGAGCTTATCATGTGGATACCCTTCGATTGAAACGTCATTGTCTCGATCGGTCTTTATGACTGAGAATCGGTTTTGACCGTACACAGATAGTCCCCTCGTTTCTCGGAAAGCATGTAGCGAGGAACGATATGATTTCTCTGCGGCTCGATCAAATTTATGCTGACGTTTCTATCGAACCCGATCTTGACGTATGTGATAGCTGTCCCATCG